CCCCCCCCCCCCCTGTAGATGGATCTTCACCAAAGTTGATAATGGAGGTTTATTGGGTCTGTGGAGAGATACATACCAAAATTTCAGTTTTGCATTTTGCAGTTACATATAAGGGGAGCAACTTTTCATGTCCTAAGATAACCTTTCATTAATCACGAATTTTCATAACTTCCGTCCAGGGGACGGTACTCTAAGTAGTTATAATTTATTTTTTGCTTCAGACAGTTGGCACATTACATACATTAGTCTTTATTGATTTCTTCTGTTTTTGACTAAAATATGTATATTTCTAGAAAGTGGTCCAGAGATGGATGTTGGACATTAAGTTCGAACTCTTCACATACAACTTGTGCTTGTAACCACGTAACCAACTTTGCCTTGATGATGGAAGTGAAGCCCATACAGGTGAGTGTTCTATCATAGCTTATTAGTGCATGGTTTAGTTGGGTGAGCTGACTTTCCAAGCTTCACAGAGTGTTTTTTTTTTAGGTAAATATTCAGGTGAAGTAAACTGGATTATTCATAATAACTCTTTAAATTCATTTCTCTTTCTTAGTTCGCTTTTCAAAATCGTTAGAATTGTGGTGTTCCTTCAAAATCGTATTATTTGTCGTTGAAAACCGCCCCAGTTATTAGACTGAAGTACAGATAAAAAGAGTTTTCGTTATTCTTGATTTAGTTGGGAAATGTATTATTATTAAGAATAATCGAATTATTTTTCAGTACCCCTCTGCCAAACAATTTACCAAACAACTGGTGACGTCACTAGGCTGCGCCCTCTGTGTGATATTTCTTCTGATAAGTACAGCGTGTCTCTATATTTTAGGGTAAGTAGGCTTAGTCGTACTTACAAGATCAATTCTGTGTGACAGTAAATAGGCATAGTGTTACAATGAAATTACACTTATGTTTACCTTGTGTAGGCTTAGCATTACAGTCAAAATGACAATTGTATTTGTGAAGGTCTGTAGGCTTAACTTTACACAAACAGTCTGTTACTCTAATGTGTGTTAAGACAAGTAAGCGTAGACTAGCGTTAATAATGCACTTATCATACTATAATTCTGCTTGTAAGTACGCATTATAAGCATGCGCAGTAAGAATTTTACTCAACAAAAACCGCGCAGGCGCATTATGCACTTGACAACAACCAGCCTGCCTGCGGCAGAGAGGTGCAAAGTTCAGTTAATAAGTCACTACAACTGCTCTATGAATGAAGGAATAGCAACAAAAGGCGGATTAAATATATTTTACTAACCCTTATGTACAACAACACTAAAAACTTAAAGTTTTCAAAAAGGTCTGACATTAGGTCCTAGGTTAACTTTTGAAGTTTATTTATCGATAGTATTAAGTAAAGTAAAGTTTAGTCCTAACTAAACTAAAGTAAAAAACGTACACAGGTTACAGTGTAAATTTAGCTCTTTATCGAACTTAGGCCTGACATAAGTTAAAGTTTTATAAAGTACGGCCTATATACAAGTGGATTTACACATTTCGGTGTCCACCATTATAATTCATTTGTATTATTCTATAATTTTTCTATTTAAAAAAGTACTGTTGTAATAAAGATACTAATTTCACAGCAAAATATTTTGTGGGTCTCTGATAGTAGGTATTAATGGAAGTTTTACGATTAATACTGCACCTCTATGTGTAACAAATGTATTATATATATATATATATATTGAATTGTGTAAAATAATTTTGTTGTTATTTAGATCATCTGATTAAAATAATCTAACTATATTGATCAGGCCCAAAATTATATGAAAAATGACTTACAGATTCATATAATATCCTGTATAATAAACTCATGTTATGTTTTACATTTTTTAAGGGGATCTCAAACGGACCGAACTATTATCCACAAAAACCTTTGCCTGTGCCTCCTGGTGGCTGAACTGGTTTTTGCTGCAGGCGTTAACCAGACACATCTTCAAACACTGTGTGGCCTAATTGCAGGGTTACTTCATTATTTCTTTTTGGTGGTGTCTGTCTGGATGTTTCTGGACGGATTTCACTTGTACGTGCTATTAATGGAAGTTTACGACTCGGAAAAAACCCGAGCAATTTGGTACTACGTCATGGCTTACGGTGTACCAACAGTAATTGTTGCAGTTTCAGCAGTAATAGATCCGCAGAGTTACGGAACAAACGATTATTGTTGGTTACGATCTGATAATTACTTCATCTTCAGCTTCGTTGGTCCAGCAGTGGGCACTTTATTTGTAAGTAAAGTACTTGTAAAAACTAGATTCAGAGTGTAGTGTTAATGATCCTAGTCAATAGATGGCAGCACTATTCCATTTTCGCTCGTTTTCAAGAAAAACCAAACAACAAGTGAATTTATTATTTCGTTTTGAGTTTACTTAGTGATTAAGTATAATTTTATTACATAATATAGCTTTAAGAGTAAGGAAGGTTATTTTTAAAAAAAGGAACCACGTTTCGATCACTGGTACCATCATTCTCTAATTTGTGTACTTGAGAATGATCGCACCAGTGATCGAAAAGTCATAACTGTTCTAAAAAATAATCTTCCTTGCTGTAAAAGTTGTAACTTGTAATAAAATAACGAGTGAATTTTTATTCTGTTGCCTAGAGGACAAAGTTAATGTTTAAGTGACTGTAGAAAATATTTTTTATGATGACTTTGTTGGACAGCTGTCAGTGACTACAGGGAACGAGAGTGAACGTTATTGTAAGCGATAATTTTCTTTCCACTTGCCTAATATATTACCTGAGGCATTTTCTGTGATGCAGAAATAATATTTGCATATGCAAATCGTTACGCAATTTTTGGGTTTTAACTTCATAAAATACTAAAAAAATTAAACTTATCCCCTAGCTGTTTTTCTAATTGTATATAAATACATAAAAAAGTTATTCAATTATATCGAAAAGTACATGGTATTTAATGGTAACACTGATGTGTTACTGGGGCGCCATCTTTTATTACTAAAGATAAACAGCATAAAAAGTAGTTGTAATTCGCCATCTATTGGTGATTTACCAAATTATAAAAATTGTGTTATCTTCTTAAAAACTAAAACATTAAATATGTGGACACTTGTATTATGGGTATTTTCCGTTATATATACGCATACAGTGGTGTTCGTTTTATGGAGTCATAAGAAATTAAGTGCAGTTGACAAAATGAATAATTACAGAGTACTGATAACAGACCTTTTATTACTTTTTTTCATTACATTTTCGCAACAATAACAAACTATAACACTATTAAAGAATAAAAAAAATATATTTTGAAGCTGCTTTATAGCAAAACAAAAGTACATATTCTTCTTCCAAAAAAAAAAAAATCCACCCTTATGTGCCAGAATAATTCTAACTTCAATATTTCAAGAATTACTATAACCATGTTTTTGAAACTATTAGATTCAAAAGTCAAAATCAGATATTTAGTTATTAGCTTCAGGTGTTTGGATTAGCCGTTTATTGTTACTTTCAAGTATTTAAGTTAGCTGTAGCTAGAGATGTTAGATAGTTACTTTCATGAGTTGGGTTTGCTGTAACTAGAGAGTTTGTTCGTTTGTAATTAAGCACAAAGCTACAAAATGGGCTATCTATGCTCTGCCCACCACGGTTATCGAAACCAGGATTCAAGCGGGGGGGGGCTAACTAGAGAGATTAGATTGCTACTTTCAGGAGTTGGGTTAGCTGTAACTAGAGCGATCAGATTGTTACTTTCAGGTGTTGGGTTAGCTGTAGCTAGAGCGATCAGATTGTTACTTTCAGGAGATGGGTTAACTGTAACTAGAGCGATCAGATTGTTACTTTCAGGAGTTGGGTTAGCTGTAGCTAGAGCGATCAGATTGTTACTTTCAGGA